AGTAAATAAACGAATGATCTACCTCGCTTTCAGCCTGGACTCTTGGAGAAGTGTTGCAGTGGTGGTCTGCAGTGGAAAATGAAACCTATCTCAAAGAGAAAACGCTTTGAAAAAAAAAGAACGCCACAGCCTCTAAGCGAATTTTTTTTTTTTTTTTGCCTGTATTGTTTTCTGGTCAACACAAAGAGAAGGCGTGTGTAATTTGCAGTAAACGTAAAACCATTTTAATAAAAATCTGTGGTTCTGTGGAATAGAGAATTGATTGAGGAATTAACTTCAACAATTTAACACATAGGCTATAGATGATTAGAAATGAACCATTTTATTGTGCAAAACGGTTTTGTTTACAGTTATTGCTATACTAAATGTACTAATCCAGTCAAGTGGGAGAGCATCTAAAGTTGTAAAACAGTCTAATATCTGAATTTACTGTAAATGACTGTCACAGCAGCACACGCATTGCTGCCTCGTGGTTTTACTCAAATAAATTAAATTAAATAATCAACTGTCACAAGTTTCAGAAAACCACAGAGAATGAAGAGCTAAACATTTAAAGGCGAGGTGAGCCAGTGATCAATCTCAAGGTATTTAGGTGTTCCTTGTTTGGTTTTGTTTTTTTCTTCTGAATTAGACCAGACCAGAGTTGTAGAATAGCACATAAGAAAAAACGTGTAAATTTGGGCACCATAAATCCAATTAATCTCTCTGTCTAATGGATTTCCTGTCCTTTGTGAATACAAAAGACCCTAAATGAAAATAACAAACGGGTTTTAAAATGTATCATGATGGGTTGGTAGTGACCCAGGTGAGTTTGAATAACCACCATGTTGTGTTTGCTTCAATGTAGGCTAATGTTTATTGTAAAAATCACATAACAGCAGTCACAGTGACAACTTACATACAAAATACATGAAGAACCACAAGAGGGACACAATTTCCTTCTACGATTTCCTTATTCATGAATTTCTCTGATTATGTGTTGAAGCTAATTCACCACTTCATCAGTGGGACAATGAATAGAATCAAGTGATACTGAGGTGAATGGAAGTAGTTGCTTTTATTCTTTTTAAAAAATTTTTAATGTTCTCCACACTTTGCGGAGAGTTTAATCACTGTGCTGTAGGCTACTGCGTACCATGTGTGTATGTTGGGGGGATATTTACCACATGCAAAATACAAGCAAAAACAAATAGGCATAAATAAACAAACATAAAATATTGATAAGATAAAGAAGCATATTCCAATATCCCAAAGCTGAATCAAATGCCAGTAAAGACCAATCCAGACAAGAGCAAAAACAGGTGCATAAAACAAAAGCATCTGTTACTGTAAACGAATACATTTTTTTTTTTTTTTAAGAAAAAAAAAAGCCATACATTTACAAATATGAATGGGAAATTAGCATAATGGACGTACTGGATGAATTCAGTATCCAATACATTAAAAGTAGTGTCATACGGCAGACAAACAAGACAAGAACTAGCCTAATAGTCCTAATGAATGTGATGAGGATGACCTCTGGTGGTGAACTGGAGAGATTGCAATTATACATTAGAGACTGGCATAGAGATCATGAATATTTATCAGTAACGAAGAATCTTGAAATGGTGGACTGATAGAACGACCTAAAAAAACATGCTGCAATAAATATGTATTATGAGTAATGTCACATCTTCTTTTCTGTTTTGCATTTGTAAGTGCCCCTTTTTCATTCTATGGCAGCACCAGCCTGTCTTGTTGACTACTGCCCTGTTAGAAAAGAATGATGTTTAGGTGCTACTCATTGATTACGGTTCTGTATTCAAAAACAATAATTTTGTAGGTTCATTACCTAGGTCTAAACACTCCACTCTCTTTCAGTGAATCCACTACAGGCACATAAACTTCATCAACCCTGTCAGCATGGGGAACTGGGAATCCTGAATTTAGCAGTCTCTTCTCACTGCTACAGTCAGGAAAACACTGCCTCTGCTTTCAACTTGAAATTGAATCGAAAAAGATTTTAGTTTAGCTATAAGCTTCAGATTTATATTTAGTTTTTGAACTCTCTTATGCTCACCAAGGCTACATTTATTTGATCAAAATACAGTAAAACAGTAACTACTGGGAAATAGTATTACAATTGAAAATAGCTGATTTATGTTTTAAAATATTTTGAAATGTCATTTATTCCTGTGATGGCAAAGCGGAATTTTCAGCAGCCAGTCTTCAGTGTCACGTGATCCTTCAGAACTCATTCTAATATGCTGATTTTCTGCTCAAGAAGCATTTCTTATTACGGTAATATACTGTTGTGCTACTTGATCATTTTAAAATCGTGATACAATTTTTCCAGGATTCTTTAGTGTATAAAAAGTTTAAAAGAACAGGAATTTTTTAAAAATAGAAATCTATTATAGGCCTACTGTTTTTTGCTATATATACACTGAAAAAAATGTTTCATTCATCCAATTAAAAAAATTTAGGGTAATGATTCACATCTATATTTTTAGGGCAAGTTATTTATTTTTCATTGGCTCAAGTTAAAAAATATAATGTGAATCATTACCCTAAATTTTTTTAATTGGATGAATGAAGCATTTTTTTCAGTGTATATATATATTACAAAAAAAAAAAACTCTCACTGACCCTGAAATTTGAACGGTAGTGTAGCTGATCCCAAATGTATAAACATACAGTGAACTACATGTCTGTTTAATATCAATAAATAAATGGCGTGGTTTTTCAAACACTGGGTGGCGCTGTGCCATAACCTTTACTGCGACCTTCTGACACTCACAGGATAAGGGGCCACACAGAATAGCCTACCCATGTACTTAAGGGAAATTTAAAATTTTTGTAAACGTGGCGGCAATAAAAAATAAATAAATCAAATTTATAAACTTTCTAACAATTAGTGGAGACGAGGGATCAAGCTTTAACACAGGGTGAGTTGCACATCTACAGTTTGACCAATTTAGAAATGAACTACAGGGGTGAAATCACACAACCCCCCGTCTGAGCCTGAGCAAAAATACAGAAATATCAACTGATAACATCAGCAGGTTCTGCTGTAAGATGTGACAGTTTGACAGTAAATACATTGCTTGATTTATATCTAAAGACTGCACAGATGGTAAAGACTATATTCAAAACAACTGAATGACACACATGCTGGGTTTCCATGTTTAATGGGGACTCTCCATAGACGTAATGGTTTTTATATTGGCCTACTGTAGCCTATAAACTAAATTTTCTCTCCTCTTAGCCTAATCCTACCCCTTACAAAAATATATATTTATATATAGGCCTATGTAACCCCACAAGGTCAGTGTAACCGTTTTCTTTTTTTTCTGTGGTTTAAAGAATTTTAACCTATGTTTAATGTATTTCAATATTTCCACGGTGTCAGAAAAAAAGCATTTTGATTGGGTCAATAATTTCAAAAACACATTTATTTTTGTTTATTTAATATTTTATTTATTAGGGACAGATACAATAAACATGAATGAAACTATAATAGCGGTCATCTTTTTTTTCTCACAGTGCATGTTTATTTTGCAAAAAATAAAAGAATAAATGTATATTTGTTTGTATTAAAATGGTTTTCTATATGCCTGTAGTTATAATTTACAATGGTTACAATAAAATGAGCATGGAATTACATATCAAGGATATTAAGGATTGTAAACAAGCGGGGCATGTTCATGCACTCTTTGTAGGCTATACTTGACATTAATTTACACGGTTTAGCCATTAATTGCTGTTTTGGAAACTAATTTGTAGCAGATAAAGTGGTGGCCAAGATTATTAGAACACTAGTATTTTTACCAGGGTTTAAGTCAGTTATTTCTATCTTTTGCTGTAGTGTGTCAGTAGGAAATATCAGTTGACATTTCCAAACATTCATTTTGCCATTAATTGTAATAATCCGGTGAGAGTTTTGTTTTTGACAGCATCCTCATTTTACAGCATTTTTACACAAGTGCCTACAACTTTTAACAGTACTGTAGCTTTGCAGGCAGGTCTCTTGAAGCATCTTGGAGACGTTGCCACAGTTCTTCTGGATTGAGTCTGTCTCAGTTTGTTCTGTTTCTTCATGTGATTCCAGACAGACTGATGATGATGAGATCAGATCTCTGTGTGGAGCACTGGCTGTTGTCAGACTCTCTCAAAAATCTCACCGGATTATTACAATTAATGGCAAAATGAATGTTTGGAAATGTCAACTGATATTTCCTACTGACACACTACAGCAAAAGATAGAAATAACTGACTTAAAACCATTTTTAGCTGGTGAAAATACTAGTGTTCTAATAATTTTGGCCACCACTGTAAATATGGGAACATTATACACTCTTAAAAATAAAGGTGCTTAGGTTCTTCACAGCGATGCCATAGAAGAACCATTCAGTCAAAGGTTCTTTAAAGAACCCTCTCTTTCTTACCTTTGTATAATCTGAAGAACCTTCTTTCGCCACAAAGAACCTTTTGTGAAACAGAAAGGTTCTTCAGATGTTAAAGTTTCTTTATGGAACCATTTAGACAAAAAAAAAAAAGGTTTTTCTATGACATTGTGAAGCACCTTTATTACTGCGAAGCAAACCAGCGCGGAGAACAACAAGTGGAGCACGAGGACGAACCTTCAAAATGAAGGTTTGATACAAAAAAAGTGTTTAGTTACAAATATTGCAACAAAAGAAGTGACAACACTTCCAGCTTTCATGTCCCATACTGAAAAAGTATGATTGCTCAATATAACAGCACTATATCCAAGTTTTAAGTTAAACGGGTTTCAAACAAATATTCAAAAACACATTCAATAGCAGCATCTGAGTCTGTCTTCCATTATTTTATAAGACACCTGTCACATTTCTCATGAAAATATGCTGCACACACAAAAGGCGCCGAAATGAGCACTCGAACACGCCCC